GGTTGATCGAGGAAGTAGATCTCCCAAATCATCCATGCTTTTCGGTTTTGTCGGTTTGTGTCTTTTGTGAACCGTGAATCGTGTATGTTGTTGGCCTATTTTGCTCCTAGTTTCTCTTCGACTCGTATTCTACCCAAATATCAAGGGATATAAACTAGTAGGCGTAATAGTAGGTATTGAAACATTACGGATATACTCCACTGTGCATGATTATTGATTTTACTGTGGTAGGATTGCCTGATAAAATCAGTTTATAAATAAACTCAATTTAAAACTCGTTAGTATTTTTCACTTGAAAAACCATAATTTTGTTGTGGAACATTAAATATTCAATACATAATTTTTACTATTCGCTTTTAACTACACGAAACTCTAATTAATATGTACGATATTTATGAAATACGCAAATAAATTCTGTTCCATCGATGTATTTTTTGAGAAACTAAACAGAGCTGTCCCATATGATAAATAAAAGCTTAATAATAACATTACTTATAAACTATCAAAACGATAGTATGTATAAATATGCCTAAATCTTAATGTATGTACTTACTTCCTTAATGAAGTACTATAGAACGCAAAGACCTATTATTTTTTAAAACTTTTTTCAGTTTTGTACATTTAAATGTTAATGCAATCACGAAAATAAATCAATCATTATTTTACTTGTCATTATACAGTAAAACCATTTTGTGGAAGGGGGCACGTTTACCGATTTTACTTCCAGTCAAATCACAAATAATTATTTTTATAGTAAATGGAATTTAAGTAATATAAAAATACTATCATTTTGCCACGTTAAAAAAAATAAAATGCCTTACTAACGTCTTATAACTTCTCTGGTGACAGACTGACAGAGATTGGTGATCCTGTTTGAGTACGAATCTGTACATTTTTTTTTTGAAGATTATTTATATAGTAATTCGCTAAGTGTACATATGCAGTTAGGAAATATATAAAATGATGTGATAATTAATACCGAAATGAAGGTTTCCAAATTTCGTGATACAGGCGGGATTTTAATTTACAAGCTGTTAGGGGTGTCATTTTTTTATTATTAGTTAGCTTATAGCTCTAATAAGCTAACTAATAATCGCAATTTTTAGATTGAATTTAAAAATATTAAAATGTGTTTTTTATGCGTAATATTTTATAGTATTTATGTAAAAAGCATTTATAAAATACGTGTTATTAAAATATATGTCAAATATTTTTATTGGAAATATTTGAATAGTCAACCGGCTAACGCAAATAAAGTTTAATAGAACCAAGGGAACTTTTCTAAAAACTCGGCTTGACAAAAACTTTGTGACAAGTTAAAATGATGCGGGACTGTTTGAGCTTCGGCTCAACATGCCGCCTCCAAAATGCGGGCCAAATTAGCTTCTATAAATTATTGCTTAATTGTAATGCCCATTTAATTTACTTCATCTTTCCCTAATCAAAGGAAAGCTTAGGACGGCTTATTAGATTTTCTTAAACCGCAAAAATCTGTAAAACATCGGATTATACCATAGTTAAATTTTTGTCTCAAATTAAATGGTTTCTAGATATTTAAAAAACTACTTTAAGGGCGATATATATTAGTTGAAATTATTTTAACTGGTAACGTGGTAATGGGGAGTATCTCCTCATGGCCATGGCTGCTGCAAAGCATCCAAAACGTCGGGCCGTAGTTAAAATAATTTTCTAATAAGTTCAACTACTATATATCGCGTTTTAAAGTGTTTTATTCAAATGTGTACAAGTCGCGTAAACGACAGACAATATTTATCTAAAATATAAATTTTATCGGAAAAAAAGTGTGGGGTTCACTAGAAAGGTGAAAAGCTCCATCCCTATAATATCTATTTGAGTTGCGCAGACGTCCTATTTTCCCTTTGACAATGCGGAGAAATTACTGAGGCAACTCGAATCAGTTTTATTATATACTAGCAACTGGCTTCGCTCGGCGGCAATGCGTTACTAAATACACTACAGTAAATACTGTGTACGTCTTAAATAGATATCTTCCTCTTGAATTACTTTATCTATTTGAAAAAAAACGCATTAAAATCCGTTGCGTAGTTATAAAGATATAAGCGCACATAGGGACAGAAAAAGCGACTTCGTTTTATACTATGTAGTGGAGAACGTCATAAACGCGTCCACATACCAATTCAACATTCTGAGAATTTGTTAACTAAACCGAAATTTACCGCATATGTTTTCCACTTTATTAAACGGAAACAAGGACGAAATTATTAATTGAGGACTTGTATATATATTTGTAGTTGCAAAGCTCATGTTTATTGTAGAGTTTGCATACGTAATGAGGCCTTAGCTGTGCTTGGAAGCCTTTTGATATCATAGCGAGATGTAAGAGCTTCTGTAAGCCCGGATATTAAATCATGTGGAGCAAATTTTATTTTTTTATAAATATTTATAAAAGCCGTTAATCCTTGACATATATAGAAATAGACAAATAATGTATATATTCACTTATTATAAAACTAACTATTCGACGGGCTCGTTGGTCTAATGGTAGCAATATATGACTAATAATTGTGGGATCGTGGGTTTGATCCCCACCAGGTCCAACATATTTCTAATTTTTCTGAAACATGTTGGACTTCGTTTGGAAATCTGGATATTAAATGGGTGGTAAAAATGAAATACCATTTCCCCTTCGTGTTGCGTGGGGCGAACACATTTCTGTGTCCGTTTCACTGATCCGTTCTTTTTAACAGGCAAGTAGTTAACCAGACTTCTGTGCCGTACACGGCCGGAATAACTTTTTTTTGTTCCTCTCGGATTCGAGCCCCGTACCTCTCGCGCATAAACCATTGCTATGCAAAACGTTTAACCATTTGGCTACAGAGGCGGTCGAAATCACCTCCGATGAAAAAGCCGTGAACCTTGATTCGGTTTCAGATTGTGGATTTAGAATATCCAAAGCCAAAATAGGTCGATAGCGCAACAAAGAGAACACTATTTCATTAAGAAATTTGTACACTTTTTTATTAAACACTATAATATGGAGGTAGTTATAAGTAGTCTCTCTTGGACTTACTATCGAGCTTTGTTGTCGCCGCTAACGCAGCTGGTCGAATAAATGTACAAAGATAAGTGGTACTAGATGGGCATTCGCGCATTGCTAAAATCATATGTATTATATATTAATTATTTTTTGGGTTAGTAGTGCTATTACCCACGACGTCGGTCGCGTCCCTTCCTGTCGTTATTACAAGTTAATCTCAAAAGATGTGTCGTCGCGAATTTTTTTTTGATCATTTAATGAGGAATCATTCTTTTACACATATTTTTTTTTCGTCGTTTTTGTAGCGTACGCCTCGGTAACCCATACACACATTTTCCGCTGTATCTTCGCTTGTATTAGTCACAGAGCGATGTTTTATAGCCTATAGCCTTTCTCGATAAATGCTCTAACCAACACAAAAATTAAATTACTAAACTAATTTTAAAATTCTAAGCCGTAGTTCCTGAGATTAGCGCCTTCAAACAAGCAAACAAACTCTTCAGCTTTATATTTATAAATACTTATTTACACATTTTACTTCGAGATTTTAAAATAAAAACGACAAAGTGAATCTCGGACTCTTCTCGGCTACTTTGTTACTTTTTTATTGTTAAATTTTAAATGTTTAAAGTTAATACATAATGTCTAAGTATCATATCAATATACAGCTTCGTGATAGATGTCCAGTCGGATCCTTAATTTAATCTTTCTTATTCGTTTAAATAAAACACTATTAACTGTCTAAATCTTGTTTTATACCATTAAAAGACTTCTATTTATTTTATAGGTACGGAATCTTCATATTAAAATACAAGAGTAACTGTACGTCGTCAGTAAGTAAAATAGTTTCGCATAAAGAAATTTAATCCCGAGTTACGTAAAATATTTTCTTGTATAATATCATAAGAATTTTTAACGTTTCGAGAAATAAAGATCAGTATAAAAGTAATGTCCCAATAAAAAATTCTTTCCCGAAGGGTTATTTTGCTCTCGAGATCTTTTATTACTTTTCGCTAAATAAACCCACAAATACAGAAAAATTGTACAATTTCCAAATATATTTCCACAAAGAAGGTCACAGCTTTAACTTTCGTAGGCACACTTGCCTCATAATTTAGTCGAAGCCTAATTTTCCTTTGACACAAAGAACTAACGTAATAATGGGTGTTTGTCGCGGCAATTTGATCACAATCTTTTTCGCTTACAGTCATGTAGAATTGTAAACATGTAGCATTATTTTCTTGTACTAACTACAACTATTAAAAGTAGCAATTTTATAAAACTATAATTTAACTGTGCACCTAACAAACTGGCAAGCGCAAATTGCACAATAGTAGTTTAAAAGTATCAATAGTTTACAAGCAAGTAAAATCCACTTTAAAACGGATTGAAATGCGTAATATCACGACACATGTTAACTCGCTGTTAATATGTAAACTAATCAATTTCGCGTTAAAACCATAAAAATTCTTTAAATTTAAATTTTGAAGAAACGTACCTTTTTTCTTTATTTATTTCCCATCACATATGTGTGTCCAAAGAATATAATTGTACTTTATCATATGATTTTCCAGATTTCTATATTTATATCATATATTCTGAATTCAAAATGCGTTAATATTTGAATGGTTGTATTCAATTACAGTTATATATTGTTTAGTCTGCCAAATCATTAATCTCTCTTTGCATCGCCTTCGTCGTGTGAAAAGAGCCATCGTCAAAATTAAGATGTACTTTTACCAGTATTACTGAAACACAAAAAACTACACAATAGAACTCAAAGTATCCGCAGTTCAGACATGATCTACGAAATAATTTCATCCTAAGCAAAACAGAATACAGACGCCGCTACGGGCTACGGCAGTTCGTAGCCGATTTACGTAGCGCATGGACGTACGTAACATCTCGTAGCACGTCTACGGCCGCGCCGCTGCGTTATGTTCGATCGTGCAATATATGCAAAAAGTAAACAAGAAGTGATATGAGTTGTGCGTCCACAAACGCAGTGTTGCGAATCACTTTGTTAATATTGACGTTCTTTGTGTCTTGCGCCTTCGTAGCCAGTGTGGTGTGGGTGCTACGCGCTAACAGCTCGAGCGGCCAATATGAGAATTATTACTTGTCGAGAATTAATATAAGCTTAAAGGGGGACGACAATAATTCCGCGCCACCGCCTCCGGACCATTACAAAGACTTGATTAAAATAGAGATCGCGATGAGACGTGTCGAGGAGAACAGTAGGAGATTGAAAGAGTACACTAAGTCATTGTTATGGGATAATAAGGACAAGTCGCTTTGGTGTGTTTTGTTCAAAGAGAGTGATAGAACGATGGATAAGCCGATGTCTCGAGAGAAAAGTAGGCATTCCCTTGACGAGGATTATATTCGCATTTTGAGGAAGCAGAAGATGAGAGACGCGGTTATACATCTTAGACATCACGGCGTCCATCATAGAGGACGTTCTGAGGTCTTGCCGATGCCGTATATTAAATAAGCCTTTATTTAATCCGAAGTGTAGATATACCCGGTCAGTCTTTATGTAAGCTCAATTATTTATTCATCACAGTACAGTATTCATCAGTTGCAAGAACTAAATTTAGCCACTTAGGAATCTAATGTGTTACCAATATTAAAAATTAAATGCTTTTTAAAGCTTCATAAATAACAATAAAACCCAAAATAACTTTTAAAACAATTACTGTTTTTGATTAAAGGTAAATGCTGTAATGTAAGCATAAACCGTGTTTTCTACAATGATACTAGTATTGATTGATATTAAATATATAAAATGTTTTAAGTGTATATGTCGCAAATCAAAATTGGTAACCAATGTAGTGTTCGGATAATGGGGGATAAAATATAATAAGGGCTGGCTAGAATTTGTGGCAGGTTTGAAAAAAAAATGACAATCCAGTACATGATATTACTTTATATTCATGAACGTATTTATTCAGTGGAAGTTTAGTCGTAAATGTGTATTCAATTACAATACAAATATGTGTACAGATAAGATACGTCGTTTTTAGTTAAAGAGTTAAAGATATAAGCTAGCCAATTGTATTGTATGAATTTGTAAATGTCTGTAAGATTTAATGTAAGGAGTGTCGTGTAAATATATTTTTGTATAAGTGTATAATGTATATATAGAGCACAGTTTATGAAGCACCGTTCGTTGACTTCAGACAATACTTAAATAAATCATGAGAAATTTGTTATGTGCTTTTATTTATCTCATCGTTGGAATTTAGATAATTTGGTAAAACAAAAATTTCGCAAGGTTACATATCAAATGTACTTGGAAATGTAAAAACCAGTCATTGGGATCTTACAAAAAGTTTAAAGTCAAACTCGTAGGAAATCCTGTAAGTCCCTCTTGTTGTGGTGCATATATTTCTGTGATCATTCCATTTATAGACATATTTTTACAGAAAAGTGATTTAGCTTTTTGACTGATACAATTATGATAAACCTGGATTCGAGCCCTCTTAGACCACTTGTTTCATGGATTGCTAGCTTTAACTATTTAACGCGTTAAAACATTTAACCATGGAAGCATCCAGAAGGAGGTCAAAAGTCATGACGGCAACTGTCATTTGTTTTCAGCAGAAAGATGGTGCCTTATTCGACACGTATTTTGCAACTACTAACATATGTATGAAATACAAAAATAACTTAAAAAGTAAATCATTTCTAACGCAACATATATTTATTTTATTTTAATCAACAGCGTCTGCTGTAAAGCATCTGAAACGTAGAGTCATAGTAAGAAATCCAATACATTTATTCATGTTATAAACCAGTTAAGTCATTTCCGAATAACCAAAACAGGTCGACACCGCATGGTTGGTTTTTATCATTCATCAAGTTAAACCTCCTCTGTCTGTCCTCCTCTATCATAAAAAAAAATCTTTATCAACATGGTTGAAAACTATGGTATCTTTTTAGAATATATTGGTCTGAAAACATTAATATTTTTCACATGTTATTGCACATGAAGGCACTATATAATTTAAAAATCGAAAATAAATTGAAAAAAAAAAAAAAAAATTTCGACTCGGGCAGGACTTGAACCGGCATCGTCAGCTTTCCGTGCTGTCGAGTCCTACTATACTACCACTGTAGGACTCGGTAGCTCAATTGGTAGAGCAACAGCACGGAAAGCTGACGATGCCGGTTCAAGTCCTGCCCGAGTCGAAAATTTTTTCAATTTATTTTCGAATTTAAATTATATATTGGTCTGTTAAATGCATAACACCATTAAATTATTTGATAAGCACAGCTCGATCAGTAGAGCAACGAGTTAATAGGCAGTTAGTCATGTATTCGAATCCCGCCTCGATCAATTATTTCAATATATATTATTTAATATTTATATACATTGTGTGAAACTATACAAATAGTATCTATATCCTTTTGGTCTGTGATGTGAAGCGGGTTGTATCTTGCGATCGAGGAAATGAATTTGTCTGTTGCAGTGATAAGCTAAGATACCTATCGTTGTGGATGCGAGGGTGGGAAGGGGGTGAGGTCTTCGACACCGGGCTGAGAAGGGGTGGGAATGGAGGAGCTAATAAAGATGAAACTACAGTGAATATTTATTATAACTATAACAGTATTCTTAATAGTTTGAATTTCACTTTGGAAGCTTTAAACGTTAAATTCAATGGTTGATTAAAATACCAACGTAAGAAGACTTTTAGTTGGAATGTTTTATTTAAATGAAAGACTTTTAACTGTTTAAAACGCAAAAACATGTTAATTTACTTGAATGTGTACTACTTGCGTAAACTATAGATACCTGACTTTTTAGAAAGCTATAAAACTTAGATAGTCTTAAAAGGCGTATTATTGTCTGAACGATTTCTTTAATGACAAGACCGCCTGGCAGTAATATGAATTGCTCTTGTTAATAAATATACAACAATGTATGTGTATACAAACAATTAGTTTATTAGATATATTTAAAAAAGCCGGACTGAGTTTCTTGGGTGTTCTTCTCAGTTATGTTGCCGTTTTAAACACTCTGTAGAAACACGACGAACAGACAGACAAATGAAAAAAAACATTGACGAATCTAAATAAATTTTTAAATTTAAAAGAGAATAAAGTATATTTTATTTTATTATTTATAAATTGTATTTAACCTTTTTATTATAAGAATAAATGTTTTTCTCATAATAAGAATGAGAAGAAGAAAGAGACGGTCAAGGCATTGCTACTTCTCGCAAAAGGACACCGACCGTTTTCAAAAGCTAACTTAGGAGAAGAAGAAGAACTCTTTATTATTATACACAAATGTGAATATGAAAGCACATCTTTACATAGAACACCAAAGTTACTACATCTGCTTAATTCGTCGTCATTGTGTAGAAAGATGAAGTTAGACTGTTAACACAGAGCCGTAAATCGATTGATCTACGTCTGATTTCAAAATTGTTCATTTATTTATAGACGTTATTCGGCGTTAGTATATGTAACAAAGAATATTTTCGTAAAATAATACTTTAACGGTTTAAAATCGCGATATATTTTAGTTAAACTTGTTTGACAATTATTTTTAGCTACGGCCCCCCGTTTCGTATGCTTTGCAGCAGCCGGGGTCACGTCAGTTACAAATAATTTTCAATTTTCACTAAAATGTATCACGTTTTAAACCGTTAAAGTGTAATATTTAAATGTGTACTACTCGCGTAAACTTCACACAGTATTTAAATAACACTTTGTATAAATAAAAACACGAAACCTTTTAATGCTACTTACCTGTCACTGAAGTAATGAAATTTGTGTAGCATTTCGCAAATATTATGTGTCTGGAAAAGGGATTATCATTAATTTAACGAAATAGAAAATGTTGAGTATATATCACAAAGCTGCTAGATCGCGTACGTGAACTAATCGTAGCCAACGAGGCAATAAGCTCATTTGTACGTCTCCCACGTCCTCTGTATATTGCGTCCCAGTAAGTTATATGAGTAAGATGTCGTTTTGCCATATACCAGTTTTTTGATAATTATCGTTTCATTGCTATAGATACTACTCGCGAACTACTCACGTTAACTACAGATAAAGATTAAATTAAATACTATATGTAGTATATAAACTGTTAAAAGAAAATAACATGTCATACAAATTATGTCTTTAAGCTTTTAAATATACAAAAATGCGAATCTATACTAATATATCAATCTAGAGTTTGTTTGTTTGAACTCGCTAATCTTAGTTTATTAATAATCATTGTTTCATTGCCATAGCTAAATACGGGATTCCCCTTATATTCTAGTGGATACTGAACTCGACTGCAGAACCCGAGTTTCAATTGTTTTAAAAAAATCCCTCGGAAAGTCAAGACGTCGATTCCGGTGATCATCAAAATTTTTTTGGTCGTAGCCATTGGAGCCTGTTAGTATGTGCCATATCGGTTTTCAACAAAACCTTTCTGAATTACAATTAAAACAACTTTAGTCAATAATAATGAATCAACAAGCAACCCACTTATATTAAACGAGAAAATTGTTTCAAGGGCCCCTTGAAAAAATATTCATAATTAAGGTCACGAAGAAATTATTCGTGATTCTTGGTAGTATTTAGTCAAGTCCAACCTCTTGACAAATTTAATTGTTTAATTAAGACATCGCTATTAAAGTGTGTTTTAAATTAATTAACTATTCCTTTAAAAATGGTCTCTAAAACCCGATTTATATTATGACGTCAATCCAAATTATTCAAATTCAAAACTTTTATTGCCATTATAAAATATTTACAAACTTATTACTTAATTGTGTGCATAAAAATTATAATAATAAAAGTAATGAATATATATATACATATATATGAGATGGCAATCGGTACCAGTCTCAGCTGTGCTGCTGAATGCTTGTCACACCCAGCAGCGCTGGTTTTCAGACTGGCCCGGGCATAGAAGGAAAGGATCCAGCCTAGTAAAGTATTCTTCTATTATTAGTGTGTATATTTCCAAGAATTATATACCATAACAAACATATACATAATAAAATAATAATAGGGGTCCAGTTTAAAATGAATTAGTGTTTTTAAAAGGTAGGAGAAGTTGATATAATTTTTGTTTGTTAAGCATTTATAAGTAACAGTTTTAAAACTAGAAAATACTGGATTTAATACATAGTTTAAATAAAACACTTTAACGGTTTAAAACGCGATATATTAGTTAAACTTATTTGAAAATGGTTTTTAACTTCGACCCAACGTTTTGGATGCTTTGCAGCAGCCTTGGTCAGGGGAGACTAAAGATGGAGTATGTCTCTGACGTCAAAGTATAAAATTGCTACGCTAGCGCCATCTGTTCCGTCGAAGTTGGTATTTGGCGAAACTTTCATAGTTTCATTTCATAGTTTGCTAAATTTATCAATTTACAATCATGTCATTTTTTTAATACTTTTGTATACATATACATTTTATGTATCGTAACGTCAAGTTTTATTTTTTTTAACACCAGTCTGTTTGTTTTATTGAACTGAT